GGCTCCACGGTGCTGCTGGAGCCCTGTGCTCATCCCATGCCACCCCGTCCCACCCCACCGCATCCCGTCCAATCCCACCCCATCCCGTCCCACATTATCCCCATCCCACCCCATCCCACCCCATTCCCATCCCACCCCATCCCACCCCATCCCATCCCATCCCATCCCATCCCACCCCACCCCATCCACCCTATCCCATCTCATCCCACCCCATGCCGTCCCATCCCACCCCATCCTACCCCATCCCATCCCATCTCATCCCACCCCACCCCATCCCATCCCACCCCCCGTCCCACCCCATCCCATCCCATCCCATCCCATCTCATCCCACCCCATCCCACCCCATCCCATCCCGTCCCACCCGATCCTACCCCATCCCACCCCACCCCACCCCATCCCATCCCGTCCCGTCCCGTCCCGTCCCGCCGCAGGTCCCCGGCTCTCAGCTCCCGGCGGCTGCGGACGGAGCCGGCAGCACCACGCTCCCCCCCGGCTGGAAGCCCCGCGGCGCCTCGGGCAGCAGCGGTAAGGGGGGGGCAGCGGGAGCGCTCCCGGCTGTATCCACCGGGAAGGGACCGGGATGGGCTGGGCTGGAGCGGGGGGGACCCCAAACCTGCCCCTTTGCAGGGGGGCAGCTGGACCGGAGCTACAGCTGCAGCTGCAGCCTGGGGAAGTGTGAAGGTAAAGGAACGGGATGGGAGAGGGTGTCTGGGATGGGATGGGGAGGGATGAGATGGGATGAGGTGGGATGAGATGGGGTGGGGAGGGATGGGGTGGGATAGGGTGGGGTGGGATGGGATGGGGTGGGATGGGGAGGGGTGGGGAGGGATGGGGTGGGATGGGGTGCGATGGGGTGGGATGTGGTGGGGTGGGACGGGATGGGGAGGGATGGGGTGGGATGGGATGGGGTGGGATGGCATAGATAGGGTGAGATGGGATGGGGTGGGGAGGGATGGGGTGGGATGGGATGGGATGGGATGGGATGGGATGGGATGTCATGGGATGAGATGGGGGTGGGGTGGGATGAGCTGGGGTGGGATGGGATGGCACGCGATGGGGTGGGATGAGGTGCAGTGGGATGGCATGGGATGAGCTGGGGTGGGATGGCATGGGAAAGGGTGGCTGGGTTGGGATGGGATGGCACACGATGGGGTGGGGTGGGATGGGATGGGGGGGGGGGGTTGGGAAAGGGTGGCTGTGGTGGGATGGGAAAGGGTGCCTGGGATGGGATTGGATGGGATGGAGTGGGAAAAGGATGGGGAAGAGGTTAAGAGAGGGTGGGAATGGGATTGGGCTGGGGCTGGGACTCTCCCGACGCAGCTGCTCCCTGTCCCCCGCCATGGGGACCCCCCAACTCCTCCCCCTCAGAGCCCCCCCCGGAGGGTCTGGGGGGCAGCGGCAGCTCCGTGGGCAGCGAGAGCCCCTACGCCACCATCCGGGAGCCCCCCCTGGCGCCCGAGGGCAGCTACATGGAGATGAGGCCCCCGGTGCGCAGGGAGATGTCCTACGCCGAGATCCGGCCCCTCGAGGAGCAGCCCCACGGTGGGACACGGGCACGGGGCGGGGACACAGACATTGGGGACACACAGACATTGGGGGGGACACACGGACACTGGGGGGGGACACGGACATTGGGGACACACAGACATTGGGGGGGACACAAGGACACTGGGGGGTACATGGACATTGGGGACACACAGACATTGGGGGGGACACACGGACACTGGGGGGGACACATGGACACTGGGGGGTACATGGACATTGTGGACACACAGACATTGGGGGACACACACGGACACTGGGGGGGGACACGGACATTGGGGGAGACACATGGACACTGGGGGTACATGGATACTGGGGGGGACACAGACATTGGGGACACACAGACTTGGGGGGGGACACAAGCACTGGGGGGGACATGGACACTGGGGGGACACATGGACATTGGGGGGACACAACGGACATTGGGGGGGACATGGACACTAGGGGTACATGGATACTGGGGGGGACACACAGTCACTGGGGGACATGGATAGTGGGGGGACACAGACACTGGGGGTACCTGGATACTGGGGGGGACACACAAACACTGGGGGACACATGGACACTGGGGGGCACATGGATACTGGGGGGACACACAGACACTGCGGGGGACACATGGACACTGAGGGGGACACGGACATTGGGGACACACAGACATTGGGGGTCACACGGATACCGGGGGGGACACAAGGACACCGGGGGGACAGGAGGCACCAAGGAGAGGACACAAACCCACTTGTGACCTGCTCTTGTCCCCGCAGAGAGCTGCCCGGAGGGGGGGGACCTTGTGCCCCCCGCCCCCCCCCCCAGCCATTACGACTCCCCCAAGAACAGCCACATCCCCATTCACTACGATGTGCCCCCCACCCGGCACCCGCCGTCACCCCCTGCACCGCGAGGACCGGGGGGGCACCGGGGACACGGGGCTGACCCGGACCCCCAGCCCCGGGGTGCCAGTGCTGAATAAAGGGGTGAATAAAGGGGTGTCGGTGCGAGCCGGGGCTGGCTGTGGAATTTGGGGGGGGGGGGGGGGGCTGTGCTGGGACTGGGAGGGGCTCCGGGCCAGTAATGGACCAGTAAGGGCCCGGGGGGGTCTAATGATGACCCCAGTAACGAGACCGGGAAAGGCCCAGTAACGGGATAACGAACGGAGCAGTAAGGGCCCAGTGACGACCCCAGTGAACACCCAGTAATGGGACCAGTAAAGGGGTAAGAAACGGACCAGTGACGACCCCAGTGAACACCCAGTAATGGGACCAGTAAAGGGGTAAGAAACGGACCAGTGACGACCCCAGTGAACACCCAGTAATGGGACCAGTAAAGGGGTAAGAAACGGACCGGTGATGACCCCAGTGAACACCCAGTAATGGGACCAGTAAAGGGGTAAGAAACGGACCAGTGACGACCCCAGTGAACACCCAGTAATGGGACCAGTAAAGGGGTAAGAAACGGACCAGTGACGACCCCAGTGAACACCCAGTAATGGGACCAGTAAAGGGGTAAGAAACGGACCGGTGATGACCCCAGTGAACACCCAGTAATGGGACCAGTAAAGGGGTAAGAAACGGACCAGTGACGACCCCAGTGAACACCCAGTAATGGGACCAGTAAAGGGGTAAGAAACGGACCGGTGATGACCCCAGTGAAGACCCAGTAATGGGACCAGTAAAGGGGTAAGAAACGGACCGGTGATGACCCCAGTGAAGACCCAGTAATGGGACCAATAAAGGGGTAAGAAACGGACCGGTGATGACCCCAGTGAACACTCAGTTATGGGACCAGTAAAGGGGTAAGAAACGGACCAGTGACGACCCCAGTGAACACCCAGTAATGGGACCAGTAAAGGGGTAAGAAACGGACCGGTGATGACCCCAGTGAACACCCAGTAATGGGACCAGTAAAGGGGTAAGAAACGGACCGGTGATGACCCCAGTGAAGACCCAGTAATGGGACCAATAAAGGGGTAAGAAACGGACCAGTGACGACCCCAGTGAAGACCCAGTAATGGGACCAGTAAAGGGGTAAGAAACGGACCAGTGATGACCCCAGTGAAGACCCAGTAATGGGACCAGTAAAGGGGTAAGAAACGGACCGGTGATGACCCCAGTGAAGACCCAGTAATGGGACCAGTAAAGGGGTAAGAAACGGACCAGTGACGACCCCAGTGAACACCCAGTAATGGGACCAGTAAAGGGGTAAGAAAAGGACCGGTGATGACCGCAGTGAAGACCCAGCAATGGGACAGGAATGGACCAGTGGGGGCCCCAGGAATGGGCTCAGGAATGGGGGCAGGAATGGGGCAGGAATGGGGCAGGAATGGGGCAGGATGCGCCCAGCGCTGCCCCCAGCAGAGCCCCGGGTGCTCCAGCGCCGGCCCCGGTACGGGCTCGGTCGCAGCGCAGCGCCGGCCTGGGAAGGGGGGAGGCCCCGCCCCTTTGACCAGACCCCGCCCCTTTCCCGGACGGCCCCGCCCTTTCTCGACAAACCACGCCTCCTTTTCGTTAGGTCCCGCCCACTCAGCACCGGCTCCGCCCCGCGCAGGCGCGGCCCCGCCCCTCGCGTCCTTTCCGTTGCCAAGGAGCGAGGTCGCCGCCGGCCCCGGGCTCCCCCCGCGACCCCCATAGGGACCCCCGCACCCCATAGGGACCCTCGCACCCCATAGGGACCCCTCCGCACCCCATAGGGACCCTCGCACCCCATAGGGAACCACCGCACCCCATAGGGACCCCTCCGCACCCCATAGGGACCCCCGCACCCCATAGGGACCCTCGCACCCTATAGGGAACCACCGCACCCCATAGGGAACCCCGCACCCCATAGGGACCCCTCCGCACGCCATAGGGACCCTCGCACCCCATAGGGACCCCTCCGCTCCCCATAGGGACCCTCGCACCCTATAGGGACCCCGCGCACCACATAGGGACCCCTCCGCACCCCATAGGGACCCCTCCGCACCCCACAGGGACCCCGCGCACCCCATAGGGAACCCCCGCACCCAGGAGACCCCCATAGGGACCCCCCTGTACCCCTATGCGGCCTCCTGCGCCCTAGAAACACCCCCCTCCCCGCAGCCCCATAGGCACCAGGCCTGGTACAACCGCCCTCACCGCCTAAGGAGACCCCCATAGGGACCCACTCCCAACCCTGGGACCCTCCATCACCCCCTGGAGACCCCCATAGGGACCCCCATCCACTGGGACTCCCCTTTGCCCCTTCTGTGGACCCTCATCGAGATCCCCCAGGTCATCCCCCCCCCCCAGCATCCCTGACACCCCCCCTCCCATCCACACAGGGACCCCCACAGGACCCTGGGACCCTCCCTCACCCCCATAAGGACCTGGGACTCCCCCTCACCCCAATAGGGACCCCCATAGGGCCCTGGGACCCCCTCACCCGCATTAGGGACCCCCCCCCCCAGAGACACCCCCGAGCACCCCTTATCCCTGGGGCACCCCCTCCCACCCCACAGGGCTCCTCCCCCCGCGACCCTCACCCACATTCGGGACCGCACCGGGACCCCCCAAGCCGGGGGACGGGGGTATCCGGTGGGTGCTGGGGGGGAGCCGCTGACCCCCCCCCCCGGTGCCCCCCAGCCGTGGGTCATGCGGCGCAGGAGCGATCGTGCCCCCAGGGAGAAGGCGCTGGTGGCCACGGAGGAGGAGACGAAGAGCGCGGGCAGGAAGGGGGAGCAGGGCCCAGGTGAGCCCCGGCCCCACAGCGGCTTGGGGGGGGGTGTGTGTGTGTGTGCTGCGAGGGACCCCCTGATGTCCCCCCCCATTGCCCTGCCCCAGAGGGGTTCCAGTGCTCCGGTGCCCTGGAGCGGGACTTCCCCGAGCTCTGCGCCCGCGCCGGCATCACCCATGTCCCGCGGGTCACGGTGCGGCCGGCCCCGAGCTTCCCTGCGGACGGTGAGCGGGATCCGGGGGGGTTTAAAGGGGGGGGGGGGGTCTGTGCTGGCAGCACCCCCAGAACCCCCCGGTCCCGGTCCCGGTCCCGCAGCGGAGCCGCCTGCGGGGACACTGGAGGAGGCGCTGGCCCGCATCGAGCGCAAGTACCGGAGCTTCCAGCCCCGCATCCAGGTGGAGCGGGAGCAGGAGGAGCCCCGCAGCGTCCGCGCCGTGTTCCTGCGAGGTGGGTCCTGGGGGGCGAGGAGAGCCTGGGATCACCCCTGGGATCCCGCTGGGAATGCGGGGAGGGCCAACCCCCCCCCTCCATGGACTTGTGTCCCTGTGTCCCGCAGGCTGGAAGCTCGAGGAGGAGATGCTGGGGGTCCTGAGCCAGTGTCTGACCGCGCTGGGGGCGCTGCAGGAGCTGCAGTGAGTGCGGGGTGCAGGCAGCGGGACCCCCATGCCCTCCCCATGGCATCGGGACCCCCATGTCCCCCCCTCATGGCTTTGAGATCCTCATGTCCCCCCCCATGGCTTCGAGACTCCCATGTCCTCCCCCATGGCTTCGAGACCCCCATGTCCCCTCCCATGGCTTTGAGACCCCCATAGCATCGGGACCCCCATGTCCCCCCCCATGGCTTTGAGATCCCCATGTCCCCTCCCATGGCTTCGAAAACCCCATGTCGTCCCCCCCATGGCTTTGAGACGCCCATGTCCCCCCCCATGGCATCGGGACCCCCATCTCCCCCCCCCCATGGCATCGGGACCCCCATGTCCTCCCCCCAATGGCATCGAGACCCCCATGTCCCCTCCAATGGCACCAGGACCCCCATGTCCCCCCCAATGGCATCGAGACCCCCATGACCCCCCCCGGCATCGGGACCCCCATCTCCCCCCCCCATGGCATCGGGACCCCCATGTCCCCCCCCCATGGCATCGGGACCCCCATGTCCACCCCCCCGGCATCGGGACCCCCATGTCCTCCCCCCAGTGGCATCGAGACCCCCATGTCCCCCCCCCCATGGCTTCGAGACCCCCATGTCCCCCCCCATGGCACCGGGACCCCCATGTCCCCCCCCAATGGCATCGAGACCCGCATGACCCCCCCCGGCATCGGGACCCCCATCTCCCCCCCCCCATGGCATCGGGACCCCCATCTCCCCCCCCCATGGCATCGGGACCCCCATGTCCCCCCCCCCGCATCTGGACCCTGATGGCGCCGTGTCCCCCCTCAGCCTCTGGAACGTGCCGCTGCCGGAGCCGCTGCTGCCGGTGCTGGCGGCGCTGCCAACGCGCTGCTCCCGCCTGCGGTACGCGCTCATTAACGCTCCCTCATTAGCGCTCATTAACGCTCCCTCATTAGCGCTCATTAAGGCCTGTGGGGGGGGCAGGGAGGATCCTGAGCGCTGGAATGGGCTCTCCGCAGGACGCTCAGCCTGGAGGGGAATCCTTTGCCTGAATCCGCTTTCCAGCTGTTGATGGGCACCGGCAGCCTGTGAGTCCGAGCTGGGCCGAGCCCCAACATCTGTACGGGCCCAGGCAGTGTGGGGCTATATGGTCCTGGTGTGGAGCTGTATGGATCCAGCAGTATGGGGCTATATGGTCCTGGTGTGGAGCTCTATGGATCCAGCAGTATGGGGCTATATGGTCCTGGTGGGGAGCTCTACGGATCCAGCAGTATGGGGCTATATGGTCCTGGTGTGGAGCTGTATGGATCCAGCACTATGGGGCTATATGGTCCTGGTGTGGAGCTCTATGGATCCAGCAGTATGGGGTTATATGGTCCTGGTGTGGAGCTGTATGGATCCAGCACTATGGGGCTATATGGTCCTGGTGTGGAGCTGTATGGATCCAGCAGTATAGGGCTATATGGCCCTGGTGTGGAGCTGTATGGACCAGCAGTATGGGGCTATATGGTCCTGGTGTGGAGCTCTATGGATCCAGCAGTATGGGGTTATATGGTCCTGGTGTGGAGCTGTATGGATCCAGCAGTATAGGGCTATATGGTCCTGGTGTGGAGCTGTATGGATCCAGCAGTATAGGGCTATATGGTCCTGGTAGGGAGCTGTATGGATCCAGCAGTATGGGGCTATATGGTCCTGGTGGGGAGCTCTACGGATCCAGCAGTATGGGGCTATATGGTCCTGGTGGGGAGCTGTATGGATCCAGCAGTATGGGGCTATATGGTCCTGGTGTGGAGCTGTATGGATCCAGCAGTATGGGGCTATATGGTCCTGGTGTGGAGCTGTATGGATCCAGCAGTATGGGGTTATATGGTCCTGGTGTGGAGCTATATGGATCCAGCACTATGGGGCTATATGGTCCTGGTGTGGAGCTATATGGATCCAGCACTATGGGGCTATATGGTCCGGGTGTGGAGCTGTATGGATCCAGCACTATGGGGCTATATGGTCCTGGTGTGGAGCTGTATGGATCCAGCACTATGGGGCTATATGGTCCGGGTGTGGAGCTGTATGGATCCAGCAGTATAGGGCTATATGGTCCTGGTGTGGAGCTATATGGCCCAGCAGTATAGGGCTATATGGTCCTGGTGTGGAGCTATATGGGACAAGGCAGTATGGAGATACACAGCACTGGCACTATGTGGCTGTATGGTTCCAGTATGGAGCTAGATATTCCCAGTACAGAGCTATACAGTACTGACACTGGGGGTCTCTATGTCCCAGTACAGCTATATGGTGCTGGCACTATGAGGCTGTATGTCCCACTATGGAGCTATGCGGTCCCAGTACAGAGCTATATGGTGCTGGCACTGTGGGACTGTGTGTCCCAGTATGGAGCTATAGGGTCCATGCACTGTGTGCTGTGTCCCAGTGCAGCGCTATGGGTGCTATCCCTGTGTGTCCCAATGCAGCGCTATGGGTGCTGTCCCTGTGTGTCCCAGTGCAGCGCTATGGGTGCTGTCCCTGTGTGTCCCAGTGCAGCGCTATGGGTGCTGTCGCTGTGCTCCAGTGCAGCGATATGGGTGCTGTCCCTGTGTTCCAGTGCAGCGCTATGGGTGCTGTCCCTGTGTGTCCCGGTGCAGCGCTATGGGTGCTGTCGCTGTGTGTCCCCGTTCAGCGCTATGGGTGCTGTCCCTGTGTCCCAGTGCAACGCTATGGGTGCTGTCCCTGTGTCCCAGTGCAGCGCTATGGGTGCTGTCGCTGTGTTCCAGTGCAGCGCTATGGGTGCTGTCGCTGTGTCCCGGTGCAGCGCTATGGGTGCTGTCCCTGTGTCCCGGTGCAGCGCTATGGGTGCTGTCCCTGTGTGTCCCAGTGCAGCGCTCTGGGTGCTGTCCCTGTGTTCCAGTGCAGCGCTATGGGTGCTGTCCCTGTGTGTCCCAGTGCAGCGCTATGGGTGCTGTCCCTGTGTGTCCCGGTGCAGCGCTATGGGTGCTGTCCCTGTGTCCCGGTGCAGCGCTATGGGTGCTGTCGCTGTGTCCCAGTGCAGCGCTATGGGTGCTGTCGCTGCAGGGTCCCGGTGCAGCGCTATGGGTGCTGTCCCTGTGTTTCGCAGTGCAGCGCTATGGGTGCTGTCGCTGTGTGTCCCAGTGCAGCGCTATGGGTGCTTTCGTTGTGTCCCAGTGCAGCGCTATGGGTGCTATCCCTGTGTCCCGGTGCAGCGCTATGGGTGCTGTCCCTGTGTGTCCCAGTGCAGCGCTATGGGTGCTGTCGCTGTGTCCCAGTGCAGCGCTATGGGTGCTGTCGCTGTGTGTCCCAGTGCAGCGCTATGGGTGCTGTCCCTGAGTCCCATTGCAGCGCTATGGGTGCTGTCGCTTTGTCCCAGCGCAGCGCTATGGGTGCTGTCGCTGTGTGTCCCAGTGCAGCGCTATGGGTGCTGTCCCTGTGTGTCCCGGTGCAGCGCTATGGGTGCTGTCGCTGTGTGTCCCAGTGCAGCGCTCTGGGTGCTGTCCCTGTGTGTCCCAGTGCAGCGCTATGGGTGCTGTCGCTGTGTCCCAGTGCAGCGCTATGGGTGCTTTCGCTGTGTCCCAGTGCAGCGCTATGGGTGCTATCCCTGTGTCCCGGTGCAGCGCTATGGGTGCTGTCCCTGTGTCCCAGTGCAGCGCTATGGGTGCTGTCGCTGTGTCCCAGTGCAGCGCTCTGGGTGCTGTCGCTGCAGGGTCCCGGTGCAGCGCTATGGGTGCTGTCCCTGTGTGTCCCCGTGCAGCGCTATGGGTGCTGTCCCTGTGTGTCCCGGTGCAGCGCTATGGGTGCTGTCGCTGTGTGTCCCAGTGCAGCGCTATGGGTGCTCTCCCTGTGTGTCCCAGTGCAGCGCTATGGGTGCTATGCCTGTGTGTCTCAGTGCAGCGCTATGGGTGCTGTCGCTGTGTGTCCCAGTGCAGCGCTATGGGTGCTGTCGCTGTGTGTCCCGGTCCAGCGCTATGGGTGCTGTCGCTGTGTCTCAGTGCAGCGCTATGGGTGCTATCCCTGTGTGTCCCGGTCCAGCGCTATGGGTGCTGTCCCTGTGTGTCCCGGTCCAGCGCTATGGGTGCTGTCCCTGTGTGTCCCGGTGCAGCGCTATGGGTGCTGTCGCTGTGTGTCCCGGTCCAGCGCTATGGGTGCTATCCCTGTGTGTCCCGGTGCAGCGCTATGGGTGCTATCCCTGTGTGTCCCGGTGCAGCGCTATGGGTGCTGTCGCTGTGTCCCAGTGCAGCGCTATGGGTGCTTTCGCTGTGTCCCGGTGCAGCGCTATGGGTGCTGTCCCTGTGTGTCCCGGTGCAGCGCTATGGGTGCTGTCCCTGTGTGTCCCAGTGCAGCGCTATGGGTGCTGTCCCTGTGTGTCCCGGTGCAGCGCTATGGGTGCTGTCGCTGTGTGTCCCAGTGCAGCACTATGGGTGCTGTCCCTGTGTGTCCCAGTGCAGCGCTATGGGTGCTTTCGCTGTGTCCCAGTGCAGCGCTATGGGTGCTGTCGCTGTGTCCCAGTGCAGCGCTATGGGTGCTGTCGCTGTGTCTCAGTGCAGCGCTATGGGTGCTATCCCTGTGTGTCCCGGTCCAGCGCTATGGGTGCTGTCCCTGTGTGTCCCGGTCCAGCGCTATGGGTGCTGTCCCTGTGTGTCCCGGTGCAGCGCTATGGGTGCTGTCGCTGTGTGTCCCGGTCCAGCGCTATGGGTGCTATCCCTGTGTGTCCCGGTGCAGCGCTATGGGTGCTATCCCTGTGTGTCCCGGTGCAGCGCTATGGGTGCTGTCGCTGTGTCCCAGTGCAGCGCTATGGGTGCTTTCGCTGTGTCCCGGTGCAGCGCTATGGGTGCTGTCCCTGTGTGTCCCGGTGCAGCGCTATGGGTGCTGTCCCTGTGTGTCCCAGTGCAGCGCTATGGGTGCTGTCCCTGTGTGTCCCGGTGCAGCGCTATGGGTGCTGTCGCTGTGTGTCCCAGTGCAGCACTATGGGTGCTGTCCCTGTGTGTCCCAGTGCAGCGCTATGGGTGCTTTCGCTGTGTCCCAGTGCAGCGCTATGGGTGCTGTCGCTGCGTCCCCGTGCGGAGCTGCAGGGTCCCGGTGCGCCGCCCCGGGCGCTGTCATTCCGCTCCTTGCCGCAGGTGGCGCCACCTCTCGCTGCGCTGCTGCAGCATCGGGGCCGCGGCCGCGGAGCGCATCGGGAGGAGCCTCTCGACCCCCGGGAGCTGCAACCGGAGCCTCGAGTCCCTGGTGCTGAGCTTCAACCGCATCGGGGACCGCGGCGCGCAGCGAATCGCAGAGGTGGGCACCGGGCCGCGGGGCCTGTGCCCCTGTGCCTGCACACCCTGCACCCTGCACCCAGCACCCTGCACCTGCACCCTGCACCCTGCACCCAGCACCCTGCACCTGCACCCTGCACCCAGCACCTTGCACCCAGCACCCTGCACCTGCACCCAGCACCCTGCACCCAGCACCCTGCACCCAGCACCCTGCACCTGCACCCTGCACCCTGCACCCAGCACCCTGCACCTGCACCCTGCACCTGCACCCTGCACCCTGCACCCAGCACCCTGCACCTGCACCCTGCACCCAGCACCCTGCACCTGCACCCTGCATCCAGCACCCTGCACCCAGCATCCTGCACCCAGCACCAAACACCCAGCACCCTGCACCCAGCACCCAGCACCCTGCACCTGCACCCTGCACCCAGCACCCTGCACCCAGCACCCTGTAACAAACACCCAGCACCCTGCACCCAGCACCCTGCACCCAGCATCAAACACCCTCCCAGCACCCTGCAGCCACCACCCTGCAACAAACACCCTGCACCCTGCACACCCTGCATCCAGCACCCTGCATCCAGCACCCTGCACCCAGCACCCTGCAACAAACACCCAGCACCCTGCAGCCAGAACCCTGCAGCGAGCACCCTGCATCCAGCACCCTGCAACAAACACCCAGCACCCTGCATCCAGCACCCTGCACCAAACACCCTGCACCCAGCACCCTGCACCCAGCACCCTGCACCAAACACCCTGCACCCAGCACCCTGCAACAAACACCCAGCACCCTGCAACAAACACCCAGCACCAGCACCCTGCATCCAGCACCCTGCAACCAGCACCCCGCACCCAGCACTATCAGCCATACCCTGCATCCAGCATCCCGCACCCAGCACTATCAGCCATACCCTGCATCCAGAATCAGCATCCTGCATCCAGCACCCTGCACCCAATACCCAGTGCCAGTACCCTGCACCTGGCATCAACATCCTGCAGCCAGCACCCTGCACACATCACCCTGCACCCATTACCTTGCACCAGTACTCATCATCCAGTGCCAGCGACCGGTACCAGCACCCTGCACCAGTATGCATCACCCATATCCAGCACCCATACCCTGCACCCATTACCCATCACCAGTACCCATCACCCTGCACCCAGTACCCTGCACCCAGTACCCAGCACCATATGCAGGCCCAGCATGTAGTACCTGCACCCTCCACCTTTCATCCCGCACCCAGTACCCATCACCCATCACCTTTCATCCTGCACCCATCACTCATGACCCCGCACCCATCACCCAGCACCCATCACCTTTCATCCCGCACCCGTTACCCATCACCCAGTACCCATTACCCAGTACCCATCACCCTGCACCCATCACCTTTCATCCCGCACCCATTACCCATCACCTGTCACCCATCACCCCGCACCCAGCACCTTTCATCCCGCACCCATTACCCAGTACCCACCACCCTGCACCCATCACCTTTCATCCCACACCCATTACCCAGTACCTAACCCCCATGCACCCATCACCTTTCATCCCGCACCCATTACCCATCACCTGTCACCCATCATCCCGCACCCATTACCCAGTACCCACCACCCTGCACCCATCACCTTTCATCCCACACCCATTACCCAGTACCTAACCCCCATGCACCCATCACCTTTCATCCCGCACCCATTACCCATCACCTGTCACCCATCACCCCGCACCCAGCACCTTTCATCCCGCACCCAGTACCCACCACCCTGCACCCATCACCTTTCATCCCGCACCCATTACCCAGTACCTAACCCCCATGCACCCATCACCTTTCATCCCGCACCCATTACCCATCACCTGTCACCCATCACCCCGCACCCAGCACCTTTCATCCCCCGCACCTGTTACCCAGTACCCACCACCCCGCACCCATCACCTTTCATCCCGCACCCGTCACCCATCACCCATCACCCTTACCCCGCACCCATCACCCATCACCCTCACCCATCACCCTCACCCATCACCCTCACCCATCACCCTCACCCCGCACCCATCACCCCGCACCCATCACCCCGCACCCATCACCCCGCACCCATCACCCCGCACCCATCACCCTCCCCCCATCACCCTCCCCCCGCACCCATCACCCGGCTCCATCCCGTCCCTCAGGGGCTGCGCCTGAACCGCTCCCTGCTCTCCCTGTCCCTGGCCAGCAACGACATCGGTGACGCCGGGGCCTCCGCGCTGGCCCAGGTGGGTGCCCCCGCTCCCGGTGCCTCGGCCGCGGTTCTCCCCCGGACCCCTCCCGCTCCCGCCGCTGCCCGCAGGTGCTGGCGCCCTTCGCGCTCAGCCCCGAGGAGGAGGCGCAGCGGCGGCGGCTGCTCCTGGCCCGGGCCCTGGGGCGCTCCCGTGCGGTGAGGACCCCCCCCCCCCCCCCCCAAGTCCCATCCGGGGGGGTCCCAGCGCTGATCCCGTCCCTGTTCCCCCCCCCCAAGGAGCCCGAGCCCCGCGGAGACCCCGCTGCGGGCAGCAAAGGGGCCCCGGCCCGGCCCGGCAGAGCCGGACCCAGGAGCAAGGTGAGAGCGGGGTCGGGCGCCGCGGGGCGCGGGGGGGGGCAGCGCCCTCATGGCCCCTGCCCCGTCCATTGCAGGAACCGCAGCGGAAAGAGGAGCTCAAACAGAGCAAGAAGCGTGAGAGGGGCTGCGAGGGGCGGAGGGAACAGTGGGGATGGGGAAGGATGGGGCTGGGGGCACCGGGGGGGGGCAGGGGGGCCGGGGGCACGATGAGGTTGGGGGCACAGGGGGGGCGGGGGCAGAATGAGGTTGGGGGGCACAGGGGCTCAGGGGCAGGATGAGGTTGGAGGGCACAGGGGACCGGGGGCAGGATGAGGTTGGGGGGCACGGCGCGGCACAGGGGGTCAGGGGCAGGATGAGATTGGGGGCACAGGGGGCCGGGGGCAGGATGGGGCTGGGGGGCACAGGGGGTCAGGGGCAGGGTGAGGCTGGGGACACAGTGGGACTGGGGCAGGATGAGGGCACAGTGGGGCCGGGGGCAGGATGGGGCCGGGGAGCACAGGGGGGGGTTGCAGTGAGGCCAGGGGCAGGATGAGATTGGGGGGCACAGGGGGTCAGGGGCAGGATGAGGTTGGGGGGCACAGGGGGGTCTCAGCGGGGCCGCGGTCGCAGTGGTCCCGGGTCTCTCCTGGGGCCCGCCCCGGCTCAGCCCCGTGCCCGCTCCCCGGCAGCGCCGGAGCCGAAGCCGGGCGCGCAGAAGCCGAGCGCGGGCGCGGAGCCGCTGCCGGGCGCGGGCGGCCCCGGGGCGCTGCTGGAGGCGCGGGCGCTGCTGCCCGGGAACCGCTCCCTGCGCAGCCTCAGCCTGGACCGTGAGTGCGGGGGGGGGGGGGGCACCGGGACCGGGACCGGGACCCGCTGCGGGCTCTGACCCCCCCCGTCCCCCCCCAGACAACCGCGTGTCCGAGCGCGGCCTCGGAGCCTTCCTGGCGGCGCTGGAAGCGCAGCAGCGCCAGGAGCAGCCCAAGGGGCCCGGGCAGCAGGGGCTGGAGCGGCTCGGGATGGAGGTGCCGGGGGGGGGGGCGTCGTGTGGGGCTGGTGCTGCCGTGGGGCTGGTGCTGCCGTGGGGCTGGCATCAACATGGGGCTGATACTGCCATGGGGCTGGCATCAACATGGGGCTGGTGCTGCCATGGGGCTGGTGCTGCCATGGGGCTGGCATTGACATGGGGCTGGCATTGACATGGGGCTGGCATTGACATGGGGCTGGGGCTGCCGTGGGGCTGGTGCTGCCGTGGGGCTGGTATTGACATGGGGCTGGTACTGACATGGGGCTGGCATTGACATGGGGCTGATACTGCCATGGGGCTGGTACTGCCATGGGGCTGGTACTGTCATGGGGCTGATACTGCCATGGGGCTGGTACTGCCACGGGGCTGGCATCAGTGTGGGGCTGGCATTGCCACGGGGTTGCCACCATGTGGGGCTGACATCACCATGCGGCTGGTACTGCCATGGGGGTGGCATCACCATTGGGATGCCATCATGTGGGGCTGGCATCACCATGGGGCTGGTACTGCCATGGGGCTGGCATCACCATGGGGCTGGTACTGCCATGGGGCTGGCATCACCGTGGGGCTGGCATCACCATGGGGCTGGCATCACCATGGGGCTGGCATCACCGTGGGGCTGGCATCAGCGTGGGTCTGACACCCCCTTCCCTGCAGAGCAACCGCATCCCTCCCACCAGCCCGGCCCTGGCCCGGCTGCAGGAGCTGCTGCCGCTGGAGCCCGGTCCCAAAGCCCCGGAGCAGGAGGAGGAGCAGGATGCGGGCACTTAGGGCGGTCCCGGTCCCGGGTCCTGGCCTTCCCCTTGGAAACCAACCCCAAACCCCAAACCCTTGTGGTGGAGAGGAGGAAAAGAACCGGGATCCAGGAGGAAAAGAACTGGGATCCGGGAGGGAAAGAACCGGGATCTGGGAGGGAAAGAACCAGGATCCAGGAGGGAAAGAACCGGGATCCGGGAGGCAAAGAACCGGGATCCAGGAGGGAAAGAACCGGGATCCAGGAGGGAAAGAACTGGGATCTGGGAGGGAAAGAACCAGGATCCAGGAGGGAAAGAACCGGGATCCGGGAGGCAAAGAACCGGGATCCGGGAGGGAAAGAACCGGGATCCGGGAGGGAAAGAACCGGGATCCAGGAGGGAAAGAACCGGGATCCGGGAGGAAAAGAACCGGGATCCGGGAGGGAAAGAACCGGGATCCGGGAGGGGAAGAACCGGGATCCGGGAGGGAAAGAACCGGGATCCAGGAGGGAAAGAACCGGGATCCAGGAGGTCCAACCGCACCGCTCGCTCTCGGCTCTATTATATATAATATATATATGGGCCCCCCCGCGCCGGCCTCGCCGCGACACCCGGGAGGGGGAGATGGGACCTGGCTCCCCCTGGGGTCACCGACTGGCCCCGGGGGGGGGGACACCCGGTGCAGGGGGGCCGCGGGTGGGTATTTACAGGGGGGGGCACGTACGTACATATTTATAGGTGGGGGGGGCCGCAGCGGGGGGGGGGGACAGAACAAAGTGCATTTATACAGACCGGATCCAGCTCCCGCGGGGGGGCCCGATGGGTGCCATGGGGGGGCCCGATGGGTGCCATGGGGGGGCCCAATGGGTGCCATGGGGGGGCCCATAGGGGCTCCCTCCTGCCAGCCCAGCCCACAGCTGGGGGGGGGGGGGGCTTGGGGGGGGCCCCACTGCTGCTAAAGGTCAGGAGGGGGGGCCTCGGCCAGGGGGGCTCTGGAGCCTGGAAGAGAGGGGAGAGGGGTGAGGAATGGGGGGGGAGGATGGAGGGGGGGGGATATGATGGGATAGAGGGGGGGTCTGCATGGAAGTGATGGGATGGAGGGGGGGCTCTGCATGGAAGTGATGGGATGGAGGGGGGGCTCTGCATGGAAGTGATGGGGATGTGATGGGATGGAGGGGGGGCTCTGCATGGAAGTGATGGGATGGAGGGGGGGCTCTGCATGGAAGTGATGGGGATGTGATGGGATAGAGGGGGGGCTCTGCATGGAAGTGATGGGGATGGGATGGGATAGAGGGGGGGCTCTGCATGGAAATGATGGGATGGAGGGGGGGCTCTGCATGGAAGTGATGGGGGGATATGATGGGATGGAGGGGGGCTCTGCATGGAAGCGATGGGGATGTGATGGGATAGAGGGGGGGCTCTGCATGGAAGCGATGGGGATGTGATGGGATGGAGGGGGGCTCTGCATGGAAGCGATGGGGATGTGATGGGATGGAGGGGGGCTCTGCATGGAAGTGATGGGGATGTGATGGGATGGAGGGGGGGCTCTGCATGGAAGCGATGGGGATGTGATGGGATAGAGGGGGGCTCTGCATGGAAGCGATGGGGATGTGATGGGATGGAGGGGGGGCTCTGCATGGAAGCGATGGGGATGTGATGGGATGGAGGGGGGCTCTGCATGGAAGTGATGGGGATATGATGGGATGGAGGGGGGCTCTGCATGGAAGCGATGGGGATGTGATGGGATGGAGGGGGCTCTGCATGGAAGTCCCCTCCATCCCATCCCATGCGATGGGATGGAGGGGGTCTCTGCATGGATGTGATGGGGATGTGATGGGATGGAGGGGGGGCTCTGCATGGAAATGATGGGATGGAGGGGGGGCTCTGCATGGAAGCAATGGGGATGTTATGGGATGGAGGGGGGCTCTGCATGGAAGTGATGGGGATGTGATGGGATGGAGGGGGGCTCTGCATGGAAGCAATGGGGATGTGATGGGATGGAGGGGGGCTCCTACCTGGGGCACTGGTGGCAGGCCCCTGCAAGCTCCGCAGGGCACGGGACAAGGGGCTGTCGCTGTCGGGGCTGGGGGGCTGCTGGCCCCATGGCTCCATCTCTGGGGCTGAGCCCCCCAGGGGGGTGGCATCGTTTGAGGAGCTGCCCCCCAGCGACCGCAACAGCTCCCGATGGGCTCTTTCCACAGCCTGGAGCAGAGAAATGGGGTGATGGAGAGGGGGGCACACAACACCCAATGACCCCCCCCATAACGTGTGCCCCCCCCCCCCCCCCCCCAGCACCCCATGCCCGGCTTGGGGCTCACCTTCAGCCTGTTGAGCTTCAACGTGAGCTGCTCGATGGTGCGGAAGATGAGGTCCACGTCCCCGGGGGGAGCCTCGGGGGGGCTCCGCTGGGCCGGTGGCTCCCTGGGGGGGCTCGGTGGGGGCACTGGTGGCAGCCCCATGGGCATGCTCACATAGAAGTAGTTGCCTAGAGAGGGGATGAGCAGCGTTAGGGGGTAGGGACCCATGTGGGGAGGTGCTGGTGGTGTCACGGGGGGGTTGCTGTGTGTGTCCCCCCATGCAGGATGTGTCCCTTTGTGGTGGGATAAGGACACAGACCCGGCCTCAGCTCACTCTGGGTCCTGGTTGTGGTGGCACGGGGTGGCCCTGGCCATGGGGCCAGTCCTTAGGGACAGTGTGTGTGGGGGGGTGTGTGTCCCCCTCAAAGGACAGGACCCCCGAGTGCCAACGGCCCCCCCCCCAGGGTCTCATGTGCCATTAGAGGATGAGGCCTCCTGGGGCCACAGGGACAACAATGGGGCCACAGGGACAACAATGGGGCCACCGAGACATGGGGAGGGGGGGCTCTTTACCATCTACATTAGCTCCGCCTCCTTCCTGCAGCTCAGTTTCTGATTGGCTGCTACCTGGAGAGGGCGTGGCCTCCTTGCCCCCCTCTGCCCGGGCTGTGCACCCCGAAAAGAAAGGGGGGGTCGGGGAAAGGGGGTGAGCAGAGCCCGCACCCAGCACTGGCACCCATCAGCATCCCACCACAGAAACCCCATCACCAGCACCCCTCACCTGCACCCATCAGCATCCCAGCACCAGAACCCCAGCATCAGCACCCAGCATCCAACACCAGAACCCCACCACCAGCAC